TACGGAGCAAAAGCCCTAGCCGAGCTAGATAGGGAGTTGTACCGCTACTAACCGAAAGGCGGCGCTTCTCTTGAAGTTTAAATTCTCCCGTTGCTCCGCGAGAGAAAGCTAGGCTGTCTCCTTTGGTGGGATTTGTACAGCCTCGGAAACCCAAATGAGGGTTAGCTATGTGTCAATTTTTGACTCCACGGCAATCAATTTGGGGATTTTGAAGAGGTAGCGAAACGTGCCGGGTTTCTAATTGAATGGTCAGTGGTTCTGATCAACCAGTCACTCCGCGTGAAGTGCATAATCTCCTACCATAAGGATTTACAGCCTGGGAAACATACTATGAAGGGTCGGTACTGAGAGCAGCAATGGGCTGGTTTGGGGTACAGGTCAAGCCATTCTGTCATCATTTTCCTCATTGGTCCTCGAAAGGGTTTGGATCCATCTGTAGCAAATAAGACTCCTCTTTCTGGTGGTAGTTTTTTGCTTTGTCCCAGAACGCGAGAGGGAAGACTAAATGTGATCAGTTTAAAAAAGCATATCCTCCACCACCACCACCCTTAAAATGAAGTCGTATAAGTAGTTGTCAAACCAATTAATCAATGGAACGATTGGGAGTGGGACGTCGGAACTTAAGGAAGGTATTACTTAAGGTTGGCACGTCGGGGTGCTTTTTAAAACGGACCGAGCTACTTCCGGAACAGAATGGGCGGGTAGCGATTTCTGGGCGATTGGCGGGCTTTGCACTCTTCCTAAATATGTGATCCTTTCCGAAGCCGAGGGTCCCGAACACGCGAGCAAGTAGTGACGCCGCCACTGCCGACCCACAGTACTTTGGGCTCCCCGATGGACATGTCTGTGGTGAGTGGCCGTGCTATGACGGGGTACCGGGACGCGAGTGCTGGGGTGACTTAGGGGAGGGGCACCGGGCCGGCCGGCATCTGATCACGTGGGCAAGTAGCGAATCCTGGCCGGGCCCGCCGGGCTTCGGGGCGGGGCCCGCTCTCTGCAGCCCCCTCCCCTTACTCCTCCTGTCTTAAGTTGTTGATCTCTGGTCCCGGGAAGACCCCCTAGCGGTGATTAGCGAGAGGCGTGGGCGTAAAAGTCTGATCTTGGCTTTCGCATCTCCTCTCAATTACCTCTCTTTAACAAGCACTTTAGCTCACCTGAGAAAGAAATGAAACAGGTTGCTCTTAATTATAATTGATAGCTGGGCACAGTAAATGACTAGGGAAGAAGATACTTCAACCGTTTGCTTTAGAAAAACTAACTAGTGTTGTTTTTCTGAAGTTAGATGATTTCTGTAATGCCAAGTTTTTTCTAAGTAGGGTTACGTTTTTTTGAACGTTATTTTCCCCTTCCCTCTTTCGGCAACTTTTAGAGCAACTTCTTAATTGAAACAAGAATTCCAAATTTGTCTATCTACTTCGAGGGCGGATTTACCTTTATTTAAGGTTTAGGTAGCATCATTTCTATTCAGGTGACTATTTAGTAAAATTATGAACGTGTGAAGTACTTAACTTGCCACGCAAGGACCATAAATTTTTGTGTCAAGAGTGGGAAAAAAACATACAAAACTAATTTAATAGAAAATGATGACCTAAATATATATATAAAAACAGTGATATTTAAACGTTCAGAAACCTAAAGTTTAAAATGCCCTAGTTAACATGAAAGAATGTAGACTATGTGCACAAAGTGGTTGAAATGAGTTGCAGGACTGATAACCTACACTTCTGAATTTGTTTTCTCATAGGATTTTAAAACTTATGTAGATCAGGCATGTAGAGCTGCTGAGGAATTTGTCAATATTTACTATGAAACAATGGATAAAAGAAGACGGGTGAGTGTTATAAATTCTGCTACTCTATTTGGCCACTTATTCATTTGACTTGCATAAGCGCTAACTGCACTTACTCTTTAAACCCCTCTTGTTTTGGGAAGGTCTTAGGGAGAATGTTTTGCCCAGCTTTGCCTCTGTGGCCTTGAGCAAGTTGCTAACCTCGTTCTCTTTTTAGGGTGCTAAATAGGAATTAAGTACAGCACTTAACTTGGGGCCCAGCAGATACTTAAATACCCCCACCTTTTCTTATTTCCATCTAACAGATATAGTTAAAATATGACTAATGCCAGTGATGGGATCTTTCTTACAGGGAATGATTACTAATTTGCCTCTTTTAAATTAATATATTAATAGGTAATTTCTGATGAAAGCCCACAAATTCCGCTAGCTCACAGAATCCATATGACTTGGAACCTTTTTGTTTTCATTAGAGCAAGTTCTCCCTTCATAGACTCTAATAAATTTTATAATTTGTTTTTATAGTTAAAAAGTAATGTATCCTCTTGCCCCAGAGATAACTGTTGAATTTTACCTTATCAAAGGCCCTGCCTAAGCGAATATTCATTTTTCTTTTACACTGTATGTTTGAAGTTTGCTGATAGAATACTAATGAAAGGAACGGATTCTTCCTCATACTTTCAACATTGAAACCATTCAGATTTTCACTTGTATGAGAATCTGTACACTAGGAGTGTACAGGCTAGTTGACAGTTTCATTAATTCTCACAGTCTCCATTCTAGGAAAGAGAGACAGAGTAAAACTGATTTAGGGCTGTATGTGCTTGGAGATTACAGCCATGTAATTTATTTTAATAGAGAAGGCAAAACATTACAGTTCTTAACCGGTTTACCCTTTGCAGCTAAAATGAAAGAGGAAAAGTATTCAGTTGTCTAGCTCATTATCAGGGATCTCTGCTGGTCTGTGGGAAGGAGTTGCACTGTCAACCCAATGGCAGGTGGATTGAATCTGTTAGCTACTCTGGGAGAAAGCTGAGAAATCTCCTATATGGTTTACAGTTTCTGAAAACTTGCTAGAAGGTCATCTATGAGTCAATTCCAACTCAACTGCACATAACACTACCACTAAAGTTCATTAAAAGAAGGATAGTATTTAATTAAAGCTAAGATTATAAGGCATAAACCTTGTTCACCTTGTTTTTTAATGGAGCAAGACATGGGTAGAGATGATTGGGGACATAAGGACTGGGAGTGAAAATGAAGGTTATGGTTGTTTTTATATGCCATTGAATTGATTTTCAGCCCTTAGCTACCACTGTCCTGGAGAATTTTCTTGCCTGTAATCTTGAACCCCACTGTATAGGTTCACACCGTCAACTTTAGTTAGTAGCCTAGAGTTTAACCATTGAGCTACCAGGGCTGAACTATGAAAATGTTCCCATATTATCTGTAACTTTTCATCCATTTCACTAAAATACTTAGAAACAAAATTCCACCCTCCTTTTTATCTTTTTTTTTCTTTTAGGTTCTAACCAGACTGTATCTGGACAAGGCCAATTTAATATGGAATGGAAATATTATCTCTGGGCTGGAAGCTCTAGCTAATTTTTTTGACATGTTGCCTTCTAGTGAGTTCCAGATCAATATGTTAGATTGCCAACCAGTTCATGGTAAGATCAGAGACTTCCAAGGTATTTCTTATGGTCTTCATTTAGTAGACACTAAGTTTTTATACCCAAAGCGGTAAGCAACTCTTGTTGTTGTTATGTGTCGTCGAGTCGCTTGCAACTCATAGCGACCCTAGTAATGGAAATATGTTCTTATTTATAATAAATTACATATTATGCAAACTCAGCTATCTATTCAAAGCTTTTAGTTACCCTGTCAATGTATCTTATGTCACAGGGTGAGTAGGTGAATTACACAATTTTGGTTTCTTGTTGTTGTTGTTGTTGTTGTTGTTATGTGCCGTCGAGTCGCTTGCGACTCATAGCGACCCTCTGTACAACAGCCCTAAACTCTGCTCTGTCCTGTGCCAGTCGCACTGTCTCTGACACTCCCATCCCAATTATCCCAGTCACTGAATCAATCC